AAAGCAAATATCCGGTGAAAAGTAAAGAAATAAAATAGATATAATGTGTTTTTTTTTTTTAAAAAAAATGAAGTATCATTCTATTTGAAACTATGAAAAAGTTATATTTTCAACTTAAACTATTATTATCTATCCTCTGTTTCAAGTTATATGACACATTTCATTTTTCGAGAGTCAAACAATTTAAGTTTGATCGAGAATTTGCTCATTGTATCTCTAAATTTATTAGAATGAAATTTATATATTTATAAACTACACAAAAAGTACTATAAATCTATATAATTGATAATTTAAAATAATTAAAATATATATGAAATTATTACGGCTAAAGATAGATTTGTTTAATCTCAAACTTCAAAATGTATCACGTAAATTGAAATAGAAGAAATATTTATCAAAACGTACCTCGAAATTAATGAGTTAGCTGCCTCGTGGACATTACCACATGTCTTGTGATTATGACGAAACACTTGGTCTAATCAATTTCATTGCGTGATTTAATAAATAATCGATGATAGTTCAAATTAAAAAAGCAAAAAAGATGTAAAAGTTAAATTGTATTTTTAACCTTTTTTTTCAAGACAACGCAACGGATCATTTTTTGTTAGAAAAGTACGAAATTGAACTCCGATTGAATCAGAAACCCTAGAATTTTGTGACCGGCGAAGAAGAAGATTGAGAGATGAAGAGAGTTTTCGGCATTAAGAAGGAAACACAACCTGCTCCGTCTGTTCAAGATGCTTCCGATAGGGTAATTATTATTTTTTTCCGACAAACTAGATCTGTAGTTTAGAATACTGCTAAATTATGCAAACAAATTTCAATTCTCTTCGTTTTTTTGGGTTTTTGTTTGTTTGTTTAGTTACAATGTGTTGTGTAGCTGCTTTGAACTAGAATTTTTGGAATGTTTTCTGCTAATTTATGCACAAATACTGCCATTTCTGTTGGAATTTTTGGTACTGTTTGAACTGGGTTTTTTCCCCAATGTTTTCTGCTAAGCATGCATAGAATGCAATTTTTCTTAGTTTTTTTTGTTTATTATGGCTGTTTCGATGAGGTAAAATTTCATGTTTTCTGCGGTTTTCTAACAATTGAGCTCCCTCTATCGTTAAGGAATGGTGGGTTACTAGTAAATCTGAATTCTGATTGTATCAGGAGTCTGAAGTCTAATGAGCTCAATTGATAGTATTAGTTAGGTGGAGGGTGAGTATGTGTGTCATGCAGAAGTTAATCTAGGATTTTAGTTCTGTTGTTATTATTCTTTTGAAATTAACGGTTCAGAATTGAATTTATGTAAAATATTAGTGACTTTTTCAGACGTATCTATTACTTTGTCTACCTCTGCTGTCATGGGAAGTCCTCGTGTTGCGCTCAATATGTAAACTCGAGCATTAGTAGTAGTAGATTATTCTGTCTACCTCTGCTGTCATGGGAAGTCCTCGTGTTGCGTTTAATATGTAAACTCGAGCTTGAGATGCATAATATATTTTACGGAATTAATAGATACTAGATAAGAAGTTGGATTTTACGGAAAATGTTGAAAAAAATAGTACTCAAGGACAGATTGCTAGACTTCAAAAATAGTTTTAGTGGAAAGCAAATTGAGGCAAAACTTTTGTAGTATAATGAAGAGATGGCTGCTTGTATGGTTTCCAGTTGATTAAACTGGAATATCTTTTTTATTATTTTAGCTCTCTGAAGTTTGGTGATTACTGTTGGTTGTTTGCATGAGTAATCTCTGATCCTTTTGATTGCTTCTTAATTGTCCAGATCAATAAAAGAGGTGAGTCAGTGGAAGAGAAAATCAAGAAGCTTGATGCTGAACTTGCAAGGTACAAGGAACAGCTAAAGAAGACTCGACCAGGTCCAGCTCAGGAGGCAGTAAAAGCTCGAGCTATGAGAGTGTTGAAGCAAAAGAGAATGTGAGTTAAATTATATGCCATTACATTGAGTTTAATGAGGCTTAAAGTGGCTTGTCAAATTATGAAGTTCAATTACTTGTGATGAGTGTCTACTAACATGTGAAAGTCAATTAGTTTAAGTTCTGAGATGAAATAATCGAACTCAATTTAACAGTTCTCTCTCGCTCGCTCATACATAACCTACACACACATGAATAACATGAAAAGAAACGTATTTGGGGATCCTTTGTCGTTACCATGTTATGAGAAACAGAAACAGTGGATTAGTTGTTGTTGTCATATCTGAAGCAAAAGTAGGCAGTGCCGGGCTATTAAATCTATATACAATATACTGTAATGCACTTTTTTCTCCTTTTTTGATGATGGAGGTGTTGAGCCGAACTTGAGCGCACCTTGACTATTCCACCGAGTACCTGCTACCTCCCTCCAACATAGGTACCGGACAACTTTGCCCCAAGACTTAGGGGATAGAAAGAAATCACCCAGAGCTTGTAGTCTTTGCGCCAACTTCATTGACCAGTAATTTTTGCCCTTGGTGCTGCACTCTTATACTTAGATGGGCTATGATTTCCACTTTCTTGTTTGAGGTAGAAATTACATTCTGAAACACTATTTAGTATATTTCTCTTTCTTCTTTTGCTTGTTTTATAGTCTTAGGTCATGTATTTTACATATTGTTCTGACAAATGCATAAGTTATCCGATGAATAATCAACAGGTATGAAGGTCAGCGAGACATGCTCTACAATCAGACATACAACTTAGACCAAGTCTCGTTTGCTGCTGAGGGGATCAAAGATGCTCAGCAAACAGTATGTTAAATGTTAAATGGAATCCATTCTTTTGCACGAGTTACCTTTTTCACAATAACAAAATGTTTATCTTATTTGTAGAATCGTTGATGAACTGCTTCAATATGTAATTCTTATCTGCAAGTGCAGAACTTGACCACGGTCGGTTTTGACATTCCACTGATCCACGAGTCTAAAAACTTTTTGTGCTTGAAGTTCATCTGTGACTCTCTTGTTATATATCATGCAGCATCATTTTTTTAATAATAGTGCATGCTCCTTGAAATAAGTTGCCTTTCCTCTAAAGTTTGACTGAATTCTGTTTTCGGGAGGAGAAAAATTAGATCTTATACTATTTACTGGCCATCATCCAGCACAGTTTTTGATATTGAGCTTAGGAGTTTCTGCGCTTATCAGACATTTTTGGTTATATCAAATTCATGGTGAAGTGTGTCTTTTTCTTGGTAGCGCTCCATTGGGCACAGCTCAAGGCTTGTCAAGCGAAGCTTATTCTGTAACCTGATGGGAACCTGCTGCCTACCTCCCTAGAGGTAGGAGGACAACCAAATTGTCATGAGGAAGGGATTTCTATTTGTGTCCCCTAGAGTTTCTTATTCTCCAATTGCTTCCATCTTAGTTCAAATGTTTGTGTTGAAGGCACATTTGAGCAATGGGTTTGATTTGCTTTGAGTGGAATTTTCCATTATTAACTTGACTATGTTTCTTCAGATGGCAGCAATGAAGTCAGCGAACAAAGAATTAAAAGGAATGATGAAAACTGTGAGCATTCAAGACGTAGATGTATGTATTCTCCATTACCATTTAAGTTTTTCTTAAGCTTCCCTGAGTTTAATCTCTTCCTTTTCTATTTACAACTATGGCTATGAAGTTTATCCATGTTGTGATGTGATACTCTTATGTTATGTAGAACCTACAAGATGAAATGACAGACCTGATGGATGTAAGCAATGAAATTCAAGAGACTCTTGGTAGAAGCTACGGTGTGCCTGATGACGTTGATGAAGAAGAGCTCATGGGCGGTAAGATTAGTTCTTGTACATTTGAATATTATAGTGAAAACATGTTTGATGTATATTTAACCTTACTTCTTTATCAGAGCTTGATGCTCTGGAAGCGGACATGGAGTTTGAAGAAGGTGTTCCTTCATACCTACAACCTGACAAGGAACCAGATCTGGATTCAGAGCTTAACATGCCATCAGCACCAATGGGACACGCGTCAATGCCAGCTGGTAGAGCTAATCCTCAGGTATTCGTCAATTAGACCTGAAAACTAATCGACCTCTTTTCTGTTAAGCATGTAATTTTTATACATATGCAATGGATGGTTAATTATTATATGTATTTTACATATCTACATCACATATCTTTTATTTTGATGACTGAGAATCTGTCCGGGGTCTCGCCCTTAGGACCAACCTCATCCTTTGAGATTCGGGGGGGATAATGAGCTGCCCTTCTCCACTTAAATACCAAGTGTGTAGTCTGCATGGTGCAGGGCTCAAACCTGCAACATAAGTCACAAGTCCCCTCAACCTTGGCCACTCGATCTTTATATCATATATCTTAAGCATTAGATGCTGCTGCATCTTTTGGGATAGAAACAAGTTAATATCTCAGTCCCAAATCTTTCTCGCGGTGGTTTCTAATTCTGTAATGTTCGTATTTCTTCGTTGAACATATAACTAACTTTGACACCTTTTATCGACTTTGTGATGCACAGGCTGAAGATGAACTAGGCTTACCTGCTGTCCCTCGGGCATCACTTCGCGGTTAAGAGTGTTTTGGGGTTGAAACATTATGTGCAGAGAGTTTTGGTTTCTTAAACCTTGATGCTGCTTATTACTACTTCCAGAGAAGTAAGGTTGATTTGTAACAATAATGAATCGATTTTTTATTAATGATTTTGTATGCTCATTATAGAATCTTATTATATCAATGAAGATATAAATCATGTTCACCTTTCTTTTGTATGAATCTTTCAATTAAAGTGTTAGTTATATAAAATATAAAAGTTTGTCTTTTTTTCATGCTAAATTATTTTTCTTATTCTCAATATAAAAAAGGTTATGATAGAGTGATAGAGAAATTTATTATTCAAAATTTTGGGAGTGAAACTTTTCGCTATTAGATGATTCGTAAATTTATTTGAGATGAATTATACCTTTATTAACCAAATAATTTTATCTCAAATTTAATTTCGAAATATCTGATTTTCAAAGTAACCTACGAATTTATAAAAACTCAATAACTGACTCGAAAGTCGAAATTAAAAAAAGGAGTGTGCAAAGACCAAAGATGTCTTTATGGCGGAGACTGGTATATATTCCCCAATTCCCACCAACAAATCCTGACCGTTCAATTCTCAACCTCACAATAAAACCACAGATCTCATACTCAAAGCAAACCCTCTCTCCCTTTTCCTCCATACTCGAACAAGCCAACAAACTCTTCTTCTCGCCGCGCTTTATCATCGGTACGTATCAATCGATCTTCATTCAACTGATGATTTTGGAAATTTTATGATTTTCTCATGTGTTTATGGTTTTCTGATTGTTAGTTTTTTTATTTAGCTGATTTTGTTGTTTTTTAGTTCAATTTTTGAGTAAATTAAGCGATCGAAGATTTAGAGTGCTTGATATGTTGTAGTTTTTCTGATTTTTTTGATTTTTAGTTTTTTTTTTTGAGTAAATTAGGCGATTGAAGATTTTTTTCGAGAGACGTGAAGAAGATTGCATGATATGGTTTAATTTTCCGAATTTTGTAGCTGATTTTGTTGTTTTTTAGTTTAATTTTTGACTAATTGAGCTAAACGAAGATGTTTTCGAGAGACGTGAAGAAGAGTGCGTGATATGGTTTAATTTCCGAATTTTTAGCTGATTTGTTGTTTATTAGTTTAATTTTGACTTATTGAGCGAAACGAAGATGCTTTTGGAGGCGATTATGAAGTTTGCTTGATATAGTTTAGTTTCCTGTTTGTTAATTTTGTAGCTGATTCTGTGTGTTTTTTTTAGTTCAGTTTTTTGACTAATTAAGCTTGATATGGTTTAATATTCTGGTTGTTAGTTTTGTAGCTTACTTACTGTTGCCTTTTGGTTTGAATTTTTGACTAATTTAGTGATCAAAGATGTTTGGAAGGACACTGAAGAAGAGTGCTTGATATGTTTTTAATTTTCTGATTGCAACTTGTAGTTGATTTATTGTTTTTTAGTTCAATTAGTTACGAATTAAGCAATCAATAATATGTTTGGGAGGGCACCAAAGGGGGAAGTGTTTGATATGTTGTAATTTTCCTATTGTTCAATTTGTAACTGATTTTGGTGTTTTTCTTTAGTTCAATTTTGACTAAATTAAGCGATCGAAGATGTTTGGGAGGGCACCGAAAAAGAGCGACAACACGAAGTACTATGAAATCTTAGGTGTTCCTAAAACTGCTGCACAAGAAGATCTCAAGAAAGCTTACCGTAAAGCTGCTATTAAGAATCATCCTGATAAGGGAGGTGATCCTGAAAAGGTACAGCTGTTTTTACTAAATTTCTCGAACACAAATTTGCAGAAAAAATTGAAATGTGTATACATCTGTGTATCTGTGTGTGTGTGTTCACTTAGGAGTGTAGATCGTGATTAAGTACTGGGTTTGCCTCAGCTGATCTAGCATATAAGCAGTGGGTGTACATTCCAAGACTCCCAAACTCAAGGTTACTGAGAAATTTAGAATGTGTGTGAAGAAGTGCAACCGTCTTTGTAAATAATGTTTTTGCTTCAGTTTCTCATTTTGCAATCATTTCTGTTTGTATGTGATTTTATACAAATGGTAGGTGATCCTGAAAGGGTATAGCTACTTGGTTACTGTTTTCACCAGAGTTGATCCAGCATATACGCAGTGGGTGTTCGTGCACTTCATCTGTTGAACGCAAATTTACAGAAAAATTTTAAATATGTATACACATGTGTTGTTGTATGCGTGTGTTTTAAGAAGTGCAGTCATCATGTTTAAATACTGGATTTACCTCAGCTTATCAAGTATATGGGTGTGGATGCCCTAAATCTCTCAAACGCGAACTTATAGAGAAAAAGTGAAATATGTAAATGACTGTGCTATGTAGTGCAGCTGTCATGTATACTGACTGGATTTGCCTTGGCATCAATTTTTCATAGATTATCTCATTATATTTTGTTTTTGTATCTTTTATATGAATGGTGTTTTGGAATTCTTTTGGTTTAATTTAGATCCGTCGTAGCTTTATGTGTAGGTTTTCTTTGAGCTTAGAAAAGTGATTTTTCTGCTGGTATAATTGAAAGGAGAATTTATTTCTATCCATTTCCCTAAATAAGCTGACCAACTAGTTTGATATGTTAGCTGGACTGAACCTTAATATCCATTGGGCATGATTGCTTGATAGTTGCTGTAATTAAGCTGATCTCTTGGAGTAAAAAGGTAGATTTAGATCTAAATTTGCTGCTTTGCAGAAATAGGAATCTTTGAATGTGTTGGTGTGAAGCTTCTTTGTTGTGTAATTGAACCCTAACCGCCTCAGCTCAACTGGAATGCTGATTTTAGAACACTTCAATTGTATTGGGATTGAACGGATACTATGTATGTTCGTAATAGACACCATGTTTCAAGTCAGAGAGTTTAACTGCCCTGAGTATGCACTCTTAGTGTAACATTATTTACTATGGTCTCTGTGTTAATAATCTTTCTTAGTTGAAGGATAATGATGTCAATTACTTTGGAGTCTATCAATGGATTAGCTGCAATGTTTTGTTTATTTCAGTTTAAAGAGCTTGCACAAGCTTATGAGGTTCTGAGTGATCCCGAGAAGCGTGAGATATATGATCAGTATGGAGAAGATGCTCTCAAGGAAGGAATGGGCGGTGGAGGTGGTGGACACGACCCATTTGATATTTTCTCATCTTTCTTTGGTGGCAGCCCATTTGGTGGTATGTTTCTATGGCTGTTTGTTTGATGTTGAATTTGTTGATTCCTTTTCATGTTACTTTCAGTCTCTGATATTCCTTTATTTGATGTCCAGGAGGTGGTGGAAGCAGCAGAGGAAGAAGACAAAGAAGAGGAGAGGATGTTGTCCACCCTCTCAAAGTTTCTCTGGAGGATCTGTACAATGGAACATCAAAGAAGCTTTCACTATCTCGCAATGTATTGTGCCCGAAGTGCAAGGGGTGAGTTTAGGATGCTATTAGTTACGTTTCGACTTTCGACATCATTTATCATCTTTTTATGTTTTCCTTACGAAGTTCTGCCGGGGTTTACACTATACTTGTATTACCAGGAAAGGATCTAAATCAGGTGCTTCAATGAAGTGTTCTGGCTGTCAAGGGTCTGGAATGAAAGTCACTATTAGACAACTTGGCCCATCCATGATCCAGCAGATGCAGCACCCTTGCAACGAGTGTAAGGGTACTGGTGAGATGATCAATGATAAAGATAGGTGTGGGCAGTGTAAAGGTGAGAAGGTTGTGCAGGAGAAGAAGGTGTTGGAAGTTGTTGTCGAGAAGGGTATGCAGAATGGACAGAAGATCACATTCCCGGGCGAGGCTGATGAAGCAGTAAGACATTCAATTTAGCTTTTGAAGTAGATTATTTCATAATGACCAGTTTGTATGTTAATATCAACCAAAAACGGGGACCATTGGATTTTCACATTGTTTATGTTTTTACTTTTTGTGGCAGCCTGATACCGTCACTGGGGACATAGTTTTTGTCTTGCAACAGAAGGAACATCCCAAGTTTAAGCGGAAGGGAGATGATCTCTTTGTAGAGCACACCTTGAGCTTAACCGAGGCCCTGTGTGGTTTCCAGTTCATCTTGACTCACCTAGATACCAGGCAGCTGATCATCAAGTCCCAACCCGGAGAAGTTGTCAAACCTGGTAAGCCCAAAGTATACTTTAGTTGCTTTTATGCCTAGAACTTCTTGATATATCGTTGTTTCCCTTATACAGCTAATGTAAGTCAAATTGTTTTCTTCGTGCACGCACTATTGTGAATCTCTGTTGCTCATAGATATGAATCGTGAACTTTGTTTTTGTCCTCGACAGATCAATTTAAGGCCATAAATGATGAAGGAATGCCGATGTACCAAAGGCCATTTATGAGAGGAAAACTATACATTCACTTCACCGTAGAATTCCCCGACACATTATCCCTCGAGCAATGCAAGAACCTTGAAGCAGTATTGCCACCAAAACCCAAAACCCAAATGACTGATATGGAATTGGACGAGTGCGAGGAGACCACGTTACATGATGTTAACATCGAAGAGGAGATGCGTAGGAAGCAGCAACAGGCCCAAGAGGCATACGACGAAGACGATGAAGACATGCATGGTGGTGCACAGAGAGTTCAATGTGCACAACAGTAATTTGGTAACACGGAATTAACGTCACGATTCAACTCTTGTTTTCACGTATTTGTAATGACATTACTAGCTTATAAATTTCGAGTTTTGAATTTGCTAATCTATACTGTTAACGTTACAAACATATTATTGAAATATTTTGTCGAAGAATTGATATAAAGAGGAAATAAATTGGTGTGCTTTGTCTTGTGAGAAGATGTAATATAACATGAAATTAGAACTATCAAAGCACAACTAATTCAATCATTTAACATGCAAAAAAATAATTAAATCAACGGTAGAAGCTTTCAATGACAACAACATATCTAACATAGTTTTATAAGTGGATCGATATTTTGAAATTTTTTTGATAAAAGAGATCATTTTCAATAAACCTGTAACTCGAAAAGATATGTTTAACAAGGGAAACAATGCTGCCTGCTTCTTTTTTTTTATTTGTTTAATTATAAAGAGGACTTGTATATTTGATATGGATTAATATATAAATTTTGTAAACAACTATGCAAGCAATCACAAAACTCCAAGGAATTTGGTTGTAACTTATACAACCAAGAACTCATGGGCGAAACAAACAACCACGAAAATTAATACTCGCTCCGTCCCATATTAGTTGTCTACTTTTTTCTTTTATATTTAACGAACAATTTCACTAATTTCATAAGCTTTTTTCAGAATTTTACAAACACTATTAAATGTAAAGGTAAAATGGAAAAATATTTAACCAATTATATTCTGATTTTGTAAATTAACAAGTAATTTAGAACAACTATTTATAATTTTTTTAAAAAAGTGGACAATTTAGAGTGCACGTAAAATCAACATATACTTTACCTTTCTCAGATATCGATCTTTTTCACGATTTCACTGAATTTATTATTGTTGAATAACTAATATGAGATTGGAGAAGGAGTAGTAAGCAATATAAAAGGGGGGCTTAATGACTTTGTGAAGATACAAGTTTATTAGTAGCAACACAACTAGCAAGTAAAACCACAAGATATAAACCAAATGGACCAAAACCAAACACCATCAACAACAATAGATCAAAATCAAACACTATCAACAACAACAACAATAGAACAAAATCAATCAACAACAACAACAATGAACCAAAACCATACATCATCAACTAGTACTAATAATACATTTTCTTCACTTATGATTGGCTTTAAACCACTAGTGGGATCTCTAGTAATGAGACTCATAACATTTAGTTTCTTGTTGGTGTCATTGATTGTCATGGCTACTAATAGTTTTGATACATTTGACATTTATGGTTTTCCAGTCAAGGTTGATTCTACTGACATTCATGTTTACCGGTAAAACTACTTTTTCCTTAGATACGAACAAAAATATTTTTTTAATTTTCTCTTGTTCAGTAAGTAAACAAAAATTTTTCAAAAAAAACGAGGAAAATGACTTTCCTAAAGGAAGTACGGAAAACAGGTTCCTGACATTTTCGACTTGTTTGTGTCCTCACCACCCTCCAGCACACCTCATCTTCACCCAGGCCCCTAGTTTGTATTAGGGTGAATTACTCCAATAAATAAATGCGTATAAATTTTTTTGATTTTTCATCCTGCATTGGAGTCTGACTAAATTCAGATTCGCGCAATATAGGACTTTGATTAAATTAATGAGTATATTTTTTTTTTTACTTATTCTAATTATTTTTATTTTTTTGGATGTAGGTATATGATATCTGTAGATGTGATTGGAATGGCCTACACTTTGCTATTATTTGTGTTAACATTTTTCCAAGTGAAATCTGGGAATCCCATTGATGGTGGCCTTGCTTATTTTGAATTCTATGGTGATAAGGTATGCAAATCAAATTGTGATCACATAAAAAAAAAAACAAGGATTTGAAATACTTATCAATAATATATATCGATTTTAAATTTTGGGTATGAATAAAAAGCATTTATGTAGTGTGAGTTTGAATTAACGTAAGTCTCAATAGAGCTACCCAATACTTCGTTCAAAACTGATAGAACACTCTTAAAGTATTTTAAATTTTCGAGTTTTAAACTTAAACTATCAGAGTTTTCTACTTAAACTATTACAAATTATCTATCAAAACGCATCTCAACTATCCGTCGTTTCTTTTCCTTCTTGAAATATCATCATCGTTCAGGTAAGAAAAGGAAACAATTGATGATTAAGTTGTATTTTGATCAATCGTCGGTGAAAAATCAAGTGGAAAACTCGCACACCTCATAATTTAAGTATAAAAAATTAAAACCGAGATACTTTAGGTGCGTTTTTGACCGTTCACTCTTATATTTCAAAAAAAACACATTTCTCAACTAATAGTTAGTTGATGTGTGTTTTAACACATAGACAGTGATAGTTCAGTTTAGATAGAAACAAAAACTAACTGATTACTTGTAGAGTTATAGTTATAACATGAAACTCGCAAAAAGTGATAATTCATATTTATATTTTTTTTTTTCAGATAATTTTATTCTTATTGGCTACTGGTGCTGCTGCTGGATTAGGATTAACAGTGGAATATAACAGACTTAAGGACAATGATGAGACTACCCAAAATATACAAAATTTTATCAACATAGCAAATGCTTCTGCTAGTGTGCTTCTTCTTGGATCTATTTCCTCTACTATTTCCTCTATCATTTCTTCTCTCAATCTTCCAAAGAGATCTTCTTCGTAAGTCGTACGGTTGTTCAGACTCTTCAAAAATATTATATCACTTGTTGAATTTACCAAAATTATGTAACTTTTGGAGGAGAGAACATGTCTTAACGATATTTCTGAAGAGTTCGAACAATACAAGATTATGAAGCATAATATTTATTTTTTTTCACTTTGAATTTTGTTTATTGTTTTCTTGTTGGAAAGGAATTGATGATAATTAAGACATGAATAAATTGCATGAAGAATTTAATGTTATCATTGTAATTTTGTCTTATTTTTGGGAATTTTGTATTTTTAATTCTTGAAATATAATAATAAATTTTGATTTTAGTTCTTCTGATATAATATATTTATCTTTCGATTGATTAAAGTGTGCGTTTGTTATCCTTTTATTACAAATTTAACGAAATATATTGTTGTCACATATTAGAAGGTAAACATAAGTGATTCCCTATTTAGAAGTACCAATAACACATATTTTGATTAATCCAAATTAAATATGCTTAGTGAAATATTACAAGCATCAAAATCAAAACTTACTAATAATTAGAGGATAAAAAATAAAATTAACCCCCCCCCCTTCTTTTTTTTTTTTATGTTATCCTATGTTCCATCACTCTCAGGGGCGGACCCACGTAGAGAGGCTCGAGTGCTTGAGCACCCATTGACCCCGACGAAAACGTTATACGCACATATATAAGATACTAGATAATTGATATAAAAAACTCGTTAGCACCCACTGTTCAAAAAGGCCTCATTGTTGCATTGGTTCTAAAGTTTACTTAAAAGCTTTCTGACGTTCACCTGTGAGGGATTCGAACCCTAGCAACAACGTACATTTATTTTTTGGTTGAAGAAAGCAAACTGGAATTTCTGTTTTCATAGTTATTTGATTGTTCATTATATATATATTTTTACGTTTGATTTTTTTTTTTTTTGCTTTATACTCTTTTAAAGAGTTTTCAACTTTTTTTATTTTTTGTATTTCATTTATTAACTAAACTAAAAATATTATAAGTAAGCTTATAGAAAGTTTTTTTTTTTTTTTTTTTTTGCTTGAGCACCCATAATCATCAAATCCTGGATCCGCCACTGATCCCTCTCACCCACCCCAAAACAAAAGAAAATCCCTTTCCACCACACCAATAAAAGTTCAAAAGAACAAAAAAAGAACCTTTTTTGCCTAAACAACACTCTTTTTATGTTGCTTAATCCTTCATGACATAAAAGGTTCTCTTATATTCATATACTATATAGTATCTATAAAACATTCAATAGCTACACATATATCCCTTTCCTCAAGACTCCAAAAAGCCCAAATTTTCATTACGATTTTCTCTTCAAAAACACTCGTATCTGGATCATGAACAACACAATAGGAGATGGCATTGAAGATACTCAAGATCATTACATAGGTGAAAAAAACTTTGAAAATTATGGATATGGCATTGGATTTTCCCTATTAATCCTTGTTATACTTATACTCATCACCTATTCTTCTTACTTATATATTGGAAAAAGATCAAGTACCAATAATTCCTCTTCACATGATATTGTCAACAACAATATAACCAACACAAGTATAGTTGAAAATCAATTGGTTTTCATTCAACAAGGTCTTGATGAAACAACATTGAGAAATTATCCAAAATTACTTTATTCACAAGCCAAGAGTCACAACAACAAAAGGGATTTTTTAATTTCTTCTGGTTGTTCAATTTGTTTGGTTGATTATAAAGACAATGATAAACTTAGACTTTTGCCTGATTGTCACCATATTTTTCATGTCAAATGTATTGACCCTTGGCTTAGACTTCACCCTACTTGTCCAAATTGTAGAAGTTCTCCTTTTCCATCTCCTTTGGCTGAGGTGGTTCCTTTGGCAACAACAAGGCCAAGTTGACGAGTCCGCGGAAAATATTTACTCGCACCTGATGTTCTGTTGAGTTGTTCAGACTTTTCAAAAGTATTGCTGCGTTTGTGTCAGATTCTCCAAAATCTATGTATCTTTGGACGATCTGATACGAGTCCTACGACATCTCTAGAGGGTTGCTCAATCAACATATATGTTTTGGTATAATGTAAATATCGGATGTGAATAAGTATTTTTCGAAGTCCATCACATTCCTTTTTTTTCTTTTCTTTTAACAAGCCCATTCCCATATTTGGTGTTTTTTTCTAGTCTAGTTTTTGTCTTGGTTTTTTTTTTTCTCTTTTTGACCATTTTCTTTTATTATTCTTTCATGTAAATGATTCACATATATTATTGCAAGTTGTACATGTTGGATTAGTTAATTGGTATATATTGATGAAGTCCTACAAAAGGGAGTTTTCCACCAATCTTAATGATTCATGTTCTTCAGTTTTAATGATTTATTTATTGATCATAGAACCACATATATATAATTTTATTTCAAGCAAGCACAATATTGTGGGAAAATATTCTCTCGAATACTTCCATTAATCGAGTTTAAGAAGATAAGATATACACAAATCTTAAGAAACGATTGTTTCGTATACGCATTCCGTTAGATATTGTTTCAAATAACTTGTAATCAGAGGTTGAGTATATGTGCCTAGTGCTAACTGCTAAGCAATTCTTAATCGATTAGTTATTGCATGCATTTACATTCAAAGAATATATGTTCATTTCTTAAATTTTGGTTCAAGGATAACACATTTTCTGTTTCAAAATAAGTTGTGCTTTCCTCGAAAAATAATCTGGCAAATATAGTATTAATTGGAGTAATATATTTGTCCAAGCAAAGTCTCCCACGATTATTCTATCAGGTACCTGCAATATTGATTTACGATTATGCTTTTCATCTCGAAAATAAGATCTCGATAGAAAGAGATATCCATACAGAAACAAACATTTCCTTATTATGTTACAAGTACAGAAAACGGATTTATAGAAAGAAAAAACAAAGGCTAACCCTCTAAACAGCCCCTTACTGATACAATTACAACCACTTTACCAAAGAAATGTTGCCCAAAATTGTGACATTTTATGCCAAGAAAGATGATAGGATTACAAGATCTTCTTCACTTACTGGAGATACAGATCTACAATGGCGCGAAATTTAAAAAAGAAAAAAAGAGAATTGCGCAAACCCATAAACCATGGCTGCTGATGGATCACTGAAAAATTAATCATCTTGCCAACAATATCTACCATGAAGATCCAATGTTGTTGCCAACTGCTTCACTTCCTTCTGTTCTTATTTCTATTAATTTTGACAATCTTTCGACCTGATTTGTCAGGACCATTGCTACCCAATGAGAAACTCCCTCCAGCACCTAAACTGCTTGATGCTGCAAATGGACATGGATTCTGAGCAGCAGCAGCTGCCTGATTCTGCTGGCCACCAAACTGGAATGGATTAGGTGTTGAACCAAACATGAAACCGCCAGGTGTGGGCGAGACAGAAGGTTGACCAAAAGCAACTGCAGGGGAAGATGCATGCATAGTGTCCTCGGCCATGCTGTCTTCCATGTTCATCTGGTTATTATTCCCAGGGGATGCAGTAAAAGGAGAAGTAGAGTTCCCAAATATGGACTGTGTAGACGGATTTGTCAAAGATGTTGAACCAAATGGAAAGGCTGGTCCAGTAGGGGTACTGGGTGCTGATCCAAAGACAGCAGCAGTGGTGGCTGGAGGAGTAAAAGAAGATGAAGATGCTCCAAATGCAAATGCAGTAGGGGTAGCAGAACTAAATGGGGAACTAAAGCCAGGAGACTTAGGGGCCTGCCAATTGGAACCTAAAATTCCAGCAGCACTGGAAGTTTGTGAGGAGGTAGAGCTGGCACCAAAAGCAAATGGACTAGGACTGACTGTGCTGGAGGCATTGACAGCATTTGTTGACAGAACTGAGGAGCTAGCACCAAAACTGAATACGCCGGGGGCAGCACTAGTGGAGGTACTGACAGTATTTGTTGACGGAACTGAGGAGCTAGCACCAAAACTGAATACGCCGGGGGCAGCACTAGTGGAGGTACTGACAGTATTTGTTGACAGAACGGAAGAACTAGCACCAAAATTAAATATGCCAGTGGTAGCACTGGTAGAGGTGCTGACAGTATTTGTTGGGGAAGCCAAAGAGTTACCACCAAAACTAAATACACCAGGAGTAGCATTTGTGGAGGTGCTGACAGTATTGGTTGAAGAAGCTGAAGAACCACCACCAAAACTAAATACACCAGGAGTAGCATTGGTGGAGGTGCTGACAGTATTGGTTGAAGAAGCTGAAGAACCACCACCAAGACTAAATACACCAGGAGTAGCATTGGTGGAGGTGCTGACAGTATTGGTGGAAGAAGCTGAAGAACCACCACCAAAACTAAATACACCAGGAGTAGCATTGGTGGAGGTGCTGATAGTATTGGTTGAAGGAGCTGAAGAACCACCACCAAAACTAAATACAGGAGTAGCATTTGTGGAGGTGCCAACAGCATTGGTTGAAGAAGCTGAAGAACCACCACCAAAACTAAATATTCCAGGAGCAGCACTATTAGACATGCCGACACTCTTCAATGAGGAAGCTGAAGAACTACCACCAAAATTAAATGTGCTAGGACTAGGGCGGGTAGAGGTGTCGACGGCATTTGCCAAGGAAGATGAAGAATCATTACCAAAACTAAATATAGCAGAAGTAGCATTGCTAGAAGTAGCAAGTGCAGTGGTGGCTGCATGAACAGCCGGACTAGCACCAAAAGTGAACGACAGCTGAGATGTCCCACTGCTAGGTCCGACTGAACTGCTCAACGTAGATGAGGTTGAAGAACTTGCCCCAAAACCAAAATTTCCAACAGCAGCAGCGCTGGAGCCAACGGGGTTGCTATCTGAAGCAGCAGCAGAAACGATGCCAGTATTACTTGAAGCAGAACCGACAGAGGAGAAAGATGTCATTCTGGAATTGCCCACTACTGGTGATGTAGTAGATGACCCAAAATGAGCAGGAACACTCTGTGAGACTCTGGTATTGTCTGATCCAGTGAGTGAAGTTTGAGCACTAA